AGCCTTGCTTGTGGCCTGCATGTTCGCTTTTAAAAGGTCCTGAGAAAAAGCACGGCTGGAGGCAGTCACAGGGCCAGCCCTTATCTGCAGATGAGAATGCTGGATTTTCTCCAAAAGGGACTGTGCCCGGGCTGATCGGAAAGAGCGAGCCGTTGAAGATGGGTGGAGTTGGAGGGCCGAGGCCTGGGAACGCTCCCGTCCCCGGGCTTGGGGCTGCCCACACGGCGGCCGCCTCCCCACAGGGCAGCCTGACAGCCGGGGCTTCTGTGCCGAGGCGCATAGCTGACCCGAGCATACGCCAGAATCCCTTTTAACTGCGGGCATGTCAGAGCAAGGAGTAAAAATAACCACCGGACCTTTGGTGGAGAGGCGGCTGCGAGCCAGCACTGAGGCCGGGCCACTGGGTTGCATCTGCATGGCCATGTCTAGGCAAGGGGGGCTCCGGGGCCCAGCGGGGGCTGAGCTGGAACCGGGGCTCAGCTCGGTGACCTTGGCCCGGTGAGGTCCCCTGCTGGGCCCGCCCACGTCTGGGCCGTTATCAGAGTGTCAGGAGATAACGAGGCTCCTGCGAGCCGGGATTCTCAGTGAGCGCCCCTCTCCCCACCCTGGACCTGTGGGCCTTCTGTCCTTACCGGGACACCCTCAGTCTTCTCGATTGTTCCCTTCCGTGGGCCCGACCCCGTCTGGCCAGATTTCCTGCAGTTACCCCAGGCCCTCAGACATGAAGACCGTCTGGAGGGGATCAGCACACCAGGAGGCTGTGAAAGGCAGCCGGCTCACCCACAAATAAACGATGTCCCGGACGATGCTATTTGCTTTGATTTCTTTAGTGCGGTTATTTGGTAACTAACAAAGACGAGCTACAGGGAAGGCACGGAGTGGCTGTCTGCCTCTTGCACTCCCGAGAATGGTGTGCAAACGTCCATGTGAGTGGGCTGAGTGTGGCCAATGCATTCCAGGCATCGGTAGAGGCCACCTCAGGAGTTTTCCTTAGTCCTCACAGCAGAGGTATGAGGTGGCACGGAGCATCCCTCTTTTAATTATGTTATGCATTTTAAACACTTATTTTGAGGCACAGGAATCTGGCCTTCTGCAGGACTCCATGGTGTCCATGGAGCCCGTGGGTCAGCAGCAAGGCCTGCTGATGCTCTTACCTTCTCTCTCTATATGTATGCACACTCGGTGGTGGTTTCCCCATAAAATTAGGGGTCCTGTTATATATCTATCCACATATATATGTATGAATGAACTGTCTATGTCCATATTATATATCAAGGGAATAGAGCACTGTTGCTTTTACTGTATGTTTTGACAGATGCAACCATGTCATAAACAAAAGGTGTACAGCAAAAGTATATTCATTTTTCTTTATGTTAAACTCTTGTGTGTTTGCCTCAGGGTTACAGTTCTGTGTGCAAAGCCTTAAAAAAAAAAAAAAACCTTAAATACAACAACCTTTTTGGTCTTATCTCAACAGTAATTGAAATGACTAGTGTGCCTTAGAGTCCTTTCAATAGGGTCAATGATGGCCAGTCATTTACATGAATGACACAGAACCCTGAGTGATCCAACACAAATGGGTCAAGGAGAAAGACCTCCATACTAGCCCCAGAAATACCCCCATTTTTAGGAGACAGGGGGACAGAAAGCCTCCTCCATGGCCTAATTCAGAGTCGTTTCTGGAAGCTGCCTGCCTCTACCTGTCCAGTCGTCTACCTTTGGCACTTTTCTCCAAAAGAAAGAAAAAGCAAAGCAAAATAAAATGAAAATAAAAAGCTCACCATCTCTTCTAACCAGCCAACTTGGGTTTTTTGTTGTTGTTGTTGTTGTTTGTTCAAAGTTTAGAATTTAAAAAATGAATTCCTATTTCCTTTTTGCTGCACAACTCCCCCAAGGGAGGTATAGCTTGTCTGTCATGTATACTTTGCTAGAAAGTACCAGGGGAGATCCCATACCAAAGGCTGGCTTTGATAGTTGAGAGGGAGGACAGAACACGATCCCGCTGGGCGAGAGGAAGAAGTGGCGTCACAGAGAAGGCCAGGGCTCAGAAAGAGGAGAGACATCCCAGCTCACCATATGTGACGGGGCCCCACAGGGGCCGAGCTGTTTGGAAGGCTCGCCTCCTGCCAATGGCCTTGGGTCTTTGGGGTGTAGGCCTGTGATTCAGCATGAAAGGCAGGGAAGTGGAAGGGATGGGATGCTCCTACCTGCAGAGTAGAGGCCACACCCGCTGCAAAACTCAGAAGATGTTCCAAGAAGTCCGCCAGTCACAAGACGCTGAGTCCCAAAAGCCCAAAGCTTGGTGTGGGCAGGGGTGTTGAGCGCGGGCTTGGTGGAGATGAGCTGGGGGAGGCCTTGCTGAGTTCATTCAAAAGCTCAGAAAGCTGTCCCTCCATGAAATGACGCTAGTCGTCAAGTCTCATTTCTAGCATACAACTTCAGTCTTAATTACTTGTCGCTGGTACAGAAGCAGACGGCCACTGGTAGAGTCCGTTCAAGTGTTAAGAGCAAAACATTGACCCCCTGCAAATGACTGGCCAGGAGCCAGTCACACCAGCTAAGTGTCTGGTCGGTTTGTATTTGTCCCTGATTTCTGGACATGCTGTGCTCTCCTCCATCACATTACCTACTGGTGACTTATCAATCTAAGTGTCCAAAAAAGGCTATAGATTTTCTGTGGGAACCCACCTTATGAGAGCAATGTATGTACTCTGGAGTGCGGTAAGATCCAGAAGGTTCTATGTGTCAAAGGTATGGGGGCACATAGGGGCACAGTGTACATCCCCCGCCGGACTCCATCCACACCCCAAACTGCTAGAAGTCCCAGTGTGGTAGAGGGAGCTGGCCTGGGATATTGGTTCTGTGACCTAGCACTTGGGTCGTGACACCCTGTGACTGAATCAGAACAGCCGGCCCAGATCCCTCACCCAGGGGGAGGTGAAGGTGGGCTCCCCAGACCGCGGCATCCTGCCACGCTCTGGTGACATCCGAGCCCTCGCTGGAGTGACCTGGCTCCTGTTATGGAGACCTGTGTGGAGCTTTGCTAGCAGCATCCTGACTCGTGGCTCTTAGCTGTGGGCTTGGCTTGTCCTTGGCGCCCCTCTCTCTCTCAGCTCCTTGGCTGTGACTGTGTAAGGGTTGGATCTGGGTCGTCTCTGGGGGTCTGTTTGTGGGGTGTCCCGGTCCTCCGCTCAGGCTGGACTCTGCATGTGCCTGCAGGGGCTCAGCCACCCTTGTGGCCATAGAGGCCCTGTCCTAGCTGAGCCACATGTAGTTAGGCACCTGCCCCAGATGTTTGGACCTTCAGAGAGTTTCTCATTTTGTTACACTAAAAGCCAGCCTTTATTTTTTTTAATGTTTAATTGAGAGAGAGAGAAAGAGCACGTGCATGCACCAGGCAGCACAGGGAGAGGCAGAAAGAGAGAGAATCCTAAGCGGGCTTCCCGCTGTCTGTACAGAGCCTGATGCAGGGCTCGATCTCACGAACAGTGAGATCATGACCTGAGCTGAAGTCAAGTGCTGGACCCTTAACCGACTGAGCCCCCCAGGCATCCCTAAAAGCCAGTCTTTAATTCACAATAGCCAAGAAGGGGAAACAACGGGAGGGTCCCCCAAAGGGATGAGTGGCTAAACAAGATGTGATCTATTCGTAGAAGAGAGGGGTATTTAACTTAGAAAGGAAGAGAAATCTGACACATGCTCATAATGTGGATGACCCTTTGAGGACATTATGCTGAGCAAAAGAGCGAGCAAACTCTGAAGACAAGAAGACACATACTCGGATTCCACGTACTTGAAGTTCCTACGGTAGTCAGACTCACAGAGAAGAGAGTAGAATGGAGGATGCTGGGCGCTGGGGGAGGGGAAATGGGGAGTTGTTTTATGGGTACAGATTACCACAATTAAAAAAAACCAGCCTTTAACAAACCTTGAGTAGCATATCCTGATTAAGTCACAGGGATCTTAATATCTGTGGCGGGCTCATTATGTGCCAGGTGCCGTTTGTAGTGGGCTCCTTTAGCTTTGTGAATCCTCCAAACTCCACACTAAGAGGGGTCAGAACACTTACCCAAGATGACGGGACTGCCTGGACCATGCCCTTTCATACCCTGGACCATGCCCTTTCCTGCCTGTAAGGCGGGAACCTAGCATTCTGCTTGCTAATTGCAGGATGCATCATTGGGAATGAACTCCCTCCTTCCCACTGGGGCTTCACATGCACGCGTGATCAGTACCACATCTGCATTAGGAGGGTGACTCCGTGAGATGCGTCCCACCACTTAGGATACATGGATGGTGAGGACAGAGGGATGAGAGATGCCCTTTTGCATGGAAATGGAGAAAAACTCTCCTATGAAGGATGGACTAGTCTGTTGGCAAGAAATAGGCCTTCATAATGACGAGAAAGAATACGTTGGGGGAGAATACCCATGGAGGGACATGGTTCCCTGGAATGTTCTACCAGGGCTAGAGATACTCATTGGCCGGATGGTATCGTTTCAGGGACCAGGACTGTCCTGGAGTCCAGAATGTTCCCTTTGCTCTCATGGCTGTCGTGGGGAAGCCAAACAGAGGTAGTTGTCCTGGTGTGCCCAGTGAGTGTGCTCTCTGGGGCAGGTTCCTAAGCGTGGCTGAATCTCCCATTTCCAAATACTGCCCAGTCCTGATGGGAGGCTTAAATGAAGTGCCGGGGAAGGCAGAGCCCTGAGTAGCAGAGGCCCCGATTAAATGTGGGTGTGGAGCCTGAATCATAGCCCAGCGTCCCTTCTCCAGGGTCCTGGGCATGGAGACCTTTGGTGTGAAAACCTGGGTGATCCCAAAAAGCCACCTTCTCCGCCTGCCAGCTAATTTGGGAGCACACCCCGAATTTTCCTTTCAGCCGGTCACAACGCAGTCATCTGTTTCTCAAGGAGATTTCCCAGAGATGATTTGAAATGCAAACGAGCCGTATGCATACAAGAAGGAAGCCCATTTGCTTGTACCAAACTTTGGAAGAAATCCACAGGTAACACGATCTGTTTATAAGCAGCAGCGGCCGAGATCAGGTCAAGGATCTCGCGGAATAACAACCATGAGATCTGATTGTCTTTTCCCTCGTAAACATTTCATAGATCCGGGAGTTCCGTGACCGATCGTGATCTCATGCTGCGTCCCGGGCCAGGCAGGGTGCGTGAGGTCCCCGCCCTCTCCTGCCCCAGCAGCCGAGCTGGGCTGCGTGCCGTGCCGGTGGGGGTGAGGTTCGCTCCTGGAGCTTAGGGGAGTGACCTGTGAAGAGAGGTGGGAGGTCAGGAGCGGCCGGCAGCTCCGGGAAGGGACTGAAATGCTGGCAAGGAGGGGAGCTGTTTGTGACATGTGTCCTGTGGACAAGGAACGACATTTACAGTGGGTGCTGGGACACCGCAGGGCCGGGCGGGGCTGCCTGGGCTCCAGGGCTGCCAGGGACAAAGTGAGGGTGGTCCTGCCTGTGCTCGGCTGGGTGCTCCCTGGAGAGATGTGCCGTGGCCCCTTCGTGGCCCCTGGGTATAAGCACGCAGTGAAATGCTCCCCTGATGATACGTTCCTTTTATTTCAAGTAGGAAACTTCGATGCTCACCTTGCTTTTCTGCAAGAAGAGCAGGAAATGTATTTCACTTAATTAATGTATATATAAATTCATGGCGTGATAAAAAGAAGTGTGGCCTGGGTGGGTCCATCAGTTAAGCGTGTGACTTTGGCTCAGGTCATGATCTCACGATTCATGAGTTCCAGCCCTGCGTCGGGCTCTGTGCTGACAGTCCAGAGCCTGGAGCCTGTTTCAGCTTCTGTGCCTCCCTCTCTCTCTGCCCCTCCCCTGCTCATGCTCTTTCTCTCTCTCAAAACAAAAATTTTTTTAAAAAATTAATAAAAGTAAAAAAATGTGACCTAAATACTACTAGATATTTTTGGTCCTTTCTGTTTAAAAATCAGTGACACATATGTACCACGCGGTCTACTTCATAGATGTCTTTATTTTCCATCTGTGGAGACCTTTGGTCCTGAAAATTAAGTCTTTGGAAAATGTGCTACTTCTAATAACTTCCTTACGAAATTGTAACTTACTGTGCAGGCAGGATTTGTCTCCTACATCACTTTTTGTTTCGTAATGTAACAATGTCAACAATAATACTGTAGTTTAAACATAGTAGCATTTGAAAAGCGCTCCATGCTTTACAGGGCACTGATTGTCTATCTGGTTTCATCTAAGGAACTGTTAGCTCCTTGAGACCTGGGACCATAAGGACAGGATGACATATGTCGAAGGCTCCCTAGAAAGTAGCAAATGTCTCATAACATGTTTACGGAACGTGTGACATTGTACAGAGAATCTTATATCCTTTGTATGTCTTCACTTCTGTCAATGCAGTTCATTCACCTGGCAGGGATGACCTGAGCTCAGGTGTGCAGCACGAGCCACCAGTCTCTCCTGGTGGTCACGGAGTGTGTGAGATGACAAGAGCTTACGCCGTGGGGGAGGGGTGAGGCCAGTGCACATAGCTGTAGAACTTCGGAGAAGGTGTTTAGCACTCCCAAACCGGAATCATAATGTAGAGGCTGCAGAAATCACTTCTAGGTTTGGCAGGGGTGGGGGCAGGGGGGCGAGGAAGACTACGCAACAATTTTTAGGCAGAGCTGAGGTTTCCGCCGGGCAGAGCGAAGGTTTCCATCGCAGGCAGAGGAGCCTTCTCCCTGAATGCCTGGCGGTGTGGAAGCTGGTCATGAGGTCATGGTGTCATTACACCATGGTGTCATGGTCAGAGGTAGGACAGGGCGGAAGGGAGGCAGGGGTTTCCTAGGAAGCCAGTGCAGGGGGCGGGGATCAGTCGGAGCCTGGAGGTCGAAAGCTGGCTCTGGAGGCATGGGTTCTGAGGATGCTGGGGCAGTGACATTCCGCTTTTGAATGGAGGGGCATGGGAACAGAGGTCAAGGCAGCCCAGGCAGTGAGCCAAGGCAGGGCGAGGCTGCTCATGCCAGGCTGGGGAGAATGGAGGCGAAGCCCCAAGGAGAAGGAAGTCTCACCTTTTTGGGGTGGGGTCTGCATTGCCCCTCCTGACCTTCCAGTGGGGGACACTTGTGGACAGAGGGCAAGGTGCAGTATGACAGGTGGCCTTGACTTGATAGGAACCATCAGGTGAGGTGTGGGGGGGCGGTGCACGGGGTAGGAGCCTCCGGGGAGCCTGCTGGGGTTACAGAGCGTGGATGGCAGAGGCCGTCTCTGCCCCGCCCCGTAGTCTGTGATGGGTGGGTGGCCACAGGCAGGGCGGGGCCCAGGGGACCCAGGAAGGAGTCAGCTATGCCTCGGAGTGGGGTGCCCCCAGAAGCGAGGCTGGGGAAGCACATCCAAAAGCATCGCTTTTATCTCCAGACTACAGGCTGTGTCACAGCCCAGGCTACTTTTAATTTTTCCAAGGTGCTCGGCAAACGAATCACACGCAGTGCAAACCTCTGCAGCCTCTTTGTAAATTTTGTCAACACGAGTTGCACTTGCGTCTGCTGGGCTGTGATCTAACTGGTTAAAACGGGCGTTTCCTTTCACTCGGTGTGGAGTGCAGCGTCCACGTGGCTAGTGTTGTTCGCAGAAGGCCCCAGACCTGACGTGGAGGGCGATTCAGCATCCTGGCTCTCCCCCTGCTGAGTTGTAAGCCCAGGTGTCTGCACTGTTGGCATCGGGGGAACAGGAAAGAGGGGTCGGACCCCGCGCCGAAAGGGACAAGCCCCGCGACAGCCTTGGCTCACGTCTGCGCTTGTCTGCAGCCTCCTCAGGTACTGGGAAAGTCGAACAGGTGGGGCACAGGATTAGGGGCACTGGGGTGCAAGCTGGTGGCTGGAGACGGGGACGCCCTGCACTGTGCCTTTCCCCGAAGCTGGCAAATCCCACTCACACCGCCGACGCTGGATGGGAGGAGCCTGGAGGGGCCGGGTGGGGACTGGTCACTTCCTCTGGTCACGCTCCCGTCCCAGGGGCTGCTCCGATCTGCGGCCTCTGTGTGCTGTGTGGTAGCACATACTGTACTTGGGGGTGCAGGAGCGCACACCTACTCACACTCAAGCACACTACTCGGGTCCCTTGGAAAGCCTGCAAGGGTAGCTAGCAGCTGACACTGTTAATTTTGAGGAAATGGGTTGAGCATCGAGACACAGGGACTTTATTACTACTACTTTTTACGGTATCCACTTCTGTATTGTTTTATGATGAACTTGTAGATTTCTGACAGATCCCCATTCCAGCCAATATTCACACTGAGTGGCTTGCAGCCTTCGTGCATGTGATGCTCATGACTCTAGGAGGGAAGTGACATCTCTGTCACCCCACAGAGCGACTGGGAGCCGGAGGCACCGAGCTGTGAGGTGACCCCCGCAGGCTGCCGGCCGTTAGGACCGTCTGGGGGTAAGAGCGAAGCCATGGGCTCCAGAGTCACTCTGCTGCCTCCCCAGTCTGCCCAATAGAGGGACAAACCGTTTCCACCTCAGGGGACAGCTTCTAGCCAGACCCCTCTAGGCCCTTCTCTATGTCCTTACATCAGTTTTGGCCGCGTGTTGTCCGTCTGTCCTCTGTTTAGCCGGTCACAGGATGTGGGCTCTCAATCTGGTCCCGGCGCCCTCTGGCTTGCCCATGACTCCTGGTACCCGGTGAGCTCCGGCTGCTTCCTGTGGGCCTGGACTCCCCTTTGTGGGGCTCGCCAGCACCCCCCTCTGGCTGGGCACCCCACCCCCTCGAATTAGTCCCCGCAGAGGTGTTAACGTTGGCATCAGCATCAGACAAGGAGTCTTGGAGAGGGAGAGCTTGGAAGGGACCCTGGGTGCAGGGTCGGCATGCGGACTCCTCCCCAGCACATGCCTGGGGGTGGGGGCCTCCTCTCAGAGCAGGCTGCAAGGTGTTGACTGTGAGCAGGGGTGGGGTGAAATCCGGTCACCACTCTCTACTGCGCACACCAGCTCAGGTCCTGCAGAGGTTTCTAGCTGTGTTCAAAGCCCAAGTTTGACTTCTTTTGTCTACGGATCCGAGGAACCTTAAGATCATAAAAATTAAACAGCAAGTAGGTGACCCTGTGACATCACCGAGTCACTTTAAGTGTGAAGAACTGAAGGTGCAGAGGGGTCAGCGGCCAGCCCAGTTTCACGCAGCTTCCCAGTTTAGAAAGTTCTGGAACTTTCTCGCACCTTCTTTGCACTGCTCGACATGGAGACGGATTCAGCCAGGGCAGCCTGTTGCATCCCGTGTGAGGGAAGTACAGGACATGACAGGATGGATCGCAGACAGTGAGGCTCCAAAGTGCTGTTATCTTTCTAGAAATGTGGTAAATGGGAGAATATTTCCACCTGGCAGTGTGACTGCCTGAGTGATTAGCCTGTAACTTTCCCTGCCTTGCGTACCTCTTAGTTTGCCTGGTACGCGTGCTTCCATTTCATAAAACTTTTCTTCTAGTAAATGCACACACTTATTTTTATGCAGTATTGTATCACTTTTTACAATAGGAGATTAGCTTATTTCTCTGCCTCTGGCAGCAGGAGCCACTTACTTAAAAGGCAAATCAGAAGGTGGGGCACCTGGGTGGCTCAGTCGCTTAAGCATCCAACTCTTGGTTTTGGCTCAAGTCATGATCTCACAGTTCATGAGTTCGAGCCCCACGTCGGGCTCTGTGCTGACGGTGCGGACCCTGCTTGGGATTCTCCCTCTCCCTCTCTCTCTGCCCCTCGCCTGCTCATGCTCTCTCTCTCTCTCTCTCTCTCAAGAAATAAACAAACTTGAAAAATTGCAAACCAGAAGGGATGAAACTACCACCGTGAGTGAGCTGTGCCTGTTAGTGGAGCGTGCGCTGGCTGGGCTCTCGGGGCTTGTAGCAGGGATGCCACTGTACTGAAACGCACAGACCTGGGTGTGTCAACATCGTTCATTCTCACCAGCACTGGTTCACGTATGTCCTGATGCGTTCAGACACGACACTATCCTGGACGATGTATGTGAACTATCGTTAGGTTGCACATGGAAACATAGGAAGTACCGATCGGTGGATTAATTTTTCAAAGTTTACATGTAACAGACTTGCTTTTGTTATCGAGTGGGTGTGTTGAGAATTCACTGATACATTTAAAAAGAATTTTTAAAATTTTATTTATTTTTGAGAAAGAAGGAGAGAGAGCATGAGCTGGCAGAGGGAGAGGGAGACACAGAATCGGAAGCAGGCTCCAAGCTCTGAGCTGTCAGCACAGAGCCAGACGTGGGGCTCAGACCCACAAACCATGAGACCATGACCTGAGCCGAAGTCAGATGCTTCACTGACTGAGCCTCGCAGGTGCCCCCCTGTCTTTTTTTTTTTTTTTTTTAATTTTTAATTTTACATTTTGAGAGTGAGTGTGTGTGCATGCAAGCAGGGGAGGGGCAGAGGAAGAGGGAGAGAGTGAATCTTCAAGCAGGCTCCATGCTCAGTGCGGAGCCAACACAGGGGCTCAAACCCATGAACCCTGAGATCATGACCTGAGATGAAGTCGGACACTTAACCGACTGAGCCAACCAGGCGCTCCTCACTGAAACATGGTAAGTGCCACATTTGTGACCAGGTTTGGTTATCGGTGATTATTCCTTAAAGATGAGGGAGGGTAAGAGGCTTGATATACTGGAGAAGACACAAACAGACATGCATTTGCTCGTTCACATGCACTAGTTCTGTGCAGCCTAAATACGAGGCAGACATTTATAGGGCATTTTCCTGGGGCAGAAACACACTCAGCCCCTCCTCTCTGGAATGCACTGGGCGCCAAACCCTCTTCTGTGGAGCCAACAGTCATGATGCTCTGGGCTAAGGCAGTGGGTGCTGATAAATGCTTAACAGCGAGCTCTCTGAAGAAATGGTCACTTTATTATAAACCTTACTTATATATGGGGTGCGTAGTGCATGCCCCAGGATGGGAATACTCTTTCATGTTAAGTAGCATAAAGTCAGCTGGTGACCACCCATGCTTTTGTTAACTTGTGAATCGTGGTAGCCCTGATGCCAAGTGCAGATCCGAGTGAACAGTGATGGATGTTTCATTGACAATCAGGAAGACAGAGGTGCTGCTCTGAATGTCCCCCCCCCCTCGGTGATGTCAGACATTCTCACACAGTAGCATAGAGTGTTCGAACATGACTGCTTTCATGCTATTCCCAGTGCAGTGGCTACAGACAGAACATGCTTTTAAGGTGTGGTGCGCATTAGGAAGATTTTTCCCCATCACTTCTCAAGTCTAGACCAGAGATTCACACACTGCCTGAAAGAGCAGGTCCTGTTTGGGTACAGGCTGCAATCTAAGGCTGGTTTTCGGCTTTTCAAATTGGTTTACTAAAGAAAAATCTAAACCTGGAAGTGCCTGTGTGGCTTAGTTGTTGAGCATCGACTCTCTATCTCAGCTCAGGTTTGAGAGATCGAGCCCCACGTCAGGCTCTGTGCTGACAGCATGGAGCCTGCTTTGGATTCTCTCTCTCTCTCTCTCTCTCTCTCTCTCTCTCTCACTCTCTCTGTCTCTCCCCCTCGCTCTCTGTCCCTCCTCCACTGGCATGTGCATGCATGTGCCCCTTCTCTCTTGCAAAATAAACTTTAAGAAAAAATCAAAAGGAGAGTAATAGCTTGTGACATGTGAAAAGTGCATGAAACTCAGAGTTCAGTGTACACACGTGGGATCTTATTGGAACACAAGTCCACTCATTTATGAGTTGTTTTCCAGCTAGGACAGCAAAGCTGAGCCCCTGCAGGAGAGCCAGGACGGCCCCCAAGGCCTAAGGTAGCTCCTGTCCTGCTGTTGGTGGGAGATGTTTGCTGAGCCCTGCTCTGAACAGTCAACAAGAGAGTGTTCCCTGACGTACAGCATCCACCCATTTCCATGGTGAAGGTGCCGCTGCCATTTCCCGGCTCCCAGCACGAGCTCTGAACACAGGGTTGGGGGGACATCGTACTGGCCCCTCGCATAGTGTTTCTACCCCACAGAAGCCATCACTAGAAGTGACCCCAAGGGCATAGAAAACAGCAAAATAAGTAGGAAGTAGCCAGTGTTGAGTACCTATTGTCTTTCTTTCTTTTTTTTAAATTTTATTTCTAATGTAGTTCATTTAGCCATAACTTAATATAAGTGTAATAATGAGCATGTTACTAACATCCCTAAGAAATGAAGAGCTGGAGAGAGATCCGGGGCATGGCTGGGTGGGGGTGCTTCTGGGTGGTGGAATGCCCCTGGTTGGGGGTGCCCCTAGGGGTGGGATGGCCCTGGGTGGTGGGGGTGCTCCTGGGTGGTGGAATGCCCCTGGTTGGGGGTGCCCCTAGGGGTGGGATGGCCCTGGGTGGTGGGGTGTCCCTCAGTGGTGGGTTGCCACCTGGTGGGGATGCCCCTGGGTGGTGGGGTGCCCCTGGATGGGGGCACCCATGGATGGTGGGGCATCCCTGGGTGGTGAGGTGCCCCTGGATGGGGTGCCCCTGGGTGGCGGCGTGGCCTCCTCTCCCTGGGGATCCCTTATGAGAAGGGTTTCCTAGCTGGATGTTTAGGGATGAGGCAGAGAGGCGGGGGCCAGGGGGTGTGCATTCACTGCAGAGGAAAGGGCAGATTTCGGGGTGCTAGTGAGCAACATTAGCACAGCTCCAGGGTGCTGGCCTAGAGCATGGTGGCCGAGGGGGCTGGGGGCTGTCACATACACCCTGAACAGAAGTGGTGGGTAGAAAACACACACATGACAGTGGCTGGTGTATATGCCAAACCAGCGTGTTTTTTCCCCTTTGCTGTAACTTACGAAAAGGTACAGGATTCATGTTTGTAAAGAGATGTGGTGTGAGTGTAGTCAGGAGTAGGTGGGTGCGCCTTAGTGACGCTCCCGGTGACAAAGGGACACGCTTGATGGATTCTCAGAGGCTGGCCACGTCCGCCAGCCAGGTTCCAGCATCTGCTCTGTCCTGCTCTCATGAAAATTGCAAGGAAAGGACAATTTTTTTTCCACCCAAGGATGTGAAAAGCTTCTGGAAAGCGCATTTGGATGGATATGCTGGGGTCAGAGCTGGCAGAAAGAACGTCTCTGGTGTCAGTTACAGCCTGTTGCCCATGGATGCTGTTTTGAAACCCTGCAAAGGGGCTTTTCAGGGAAAATGAAAAACCTCCTGCCCTCGTCTTGTAAGAATGGCTTTCCCGGGGGTGGGGGAGCGGGGGCTGGGGGGCTCATTCGCTTAAGCATCCGACTGTTGGTTTCAGCTCAGGTCATGATCTCACTTGTTCATGAGTTCAGGCCCCGCATCAGGTTCTGCGCTGACAGCACGGAGCCTGCTTAGGATTCTGTCTGTGCCCCTCTGCCGCTACCCCTCTCACCCTCTATCTCTGTCTCTCAAAAATAAACATTTAAACACGACTTTAATTAAAAAGTGAGGAAATTTTAAAAAGAGTGGCTTTCCTCAGAAGCTGCATTCATTGAGAGCCTCTTAGAGAAAACCCTGGTGAGGGCAGGGTCTCGCTCTCACAGACCAGCCTGGGAGGGGACTGAAGCTGCCCCCTGCTCCAGAGAAAAGCCCTGTCCCCTCCCCACCCTCTACCTTGACAGCTGGGAACGTCAGTCACACAGCTTCCACATTCTGAGATACGACAGCAATGACAGGCGACCATATTGACCCCAGTAAAACCGAACCTGGCCTCGATGAGGCCAGGGGAGATTCTCAGAGCTGGGAGGGAACTACTGTGTAGACCTGAGCCTCTGGGGAAATCTGCTCACTGACCTGGGTGGATGAAAGGGCCCCCAGAGTCCTCCCTGGGTCAGTGTCCCCAGTCAGCTTGGCAGACTCCGTTTGGGTGGCATTGCCTTCTCTTGCTTCATTCCCCTGTGGCACTGGAGGGGGGGAGGGGTGGTATGATCCCAGCACACCTGAAGTGTCAACAAAGCCACTTGTGACATCAGCCATCCCTCCCCAGTCTGCGTCTCCAGGTTTCAACTGACCACCTGTCTTTTAAACCAGCAGATGAACCTCGAAGCTTCAAGGACATACATCCTTCTTGGGGACTAGGTCATTGTCTAAAACACCACGTAAATATTGGTCCATAATAGCTGAATGGCGTTCTGCCCTAACACACCTTTTGTTCTTATTACTAACAAGCAACTCTTTCTGAGTTGGACGCAGATCCTAGAATACCTCCCTCGACAGTATATTCTTTTAGATGTTCTGCAATGGAGAAAATAGGACCATAGTATATTTTTTTTAGTAATACCACATTTAAGATTTCAAAAGCTAGTGACACAACTGTGCGGACGTGTGGCATAATTTTGGTATTATAGTCTCTTCTGCTTTCTTTCGAAGTAAAAAAAGGAATGTTCAAGGATCTTGATGGAATTCCACAGAGTTTGTATGTCTTGAGATCAGCCAAGCCTACAAGTAAATTCAGCTGCTCACCTTCATTGAATTTATTTTTCACCACTATCATCCTTGCATTTTTAAATGGTTTTCCTGTAATTTTGTCAAACACAGGGAGGAAATGGGTTATACTGATATAGAACAGTGCACCGCTTGGTATAAAATGTTTTACTTGGGGCACCTGGGTGGCTCAGTCGGTTAAGCGTCTGGATTTCAGCTCAGGTCATGGTCTGATTGTGGGTTCGAGCCCGGCGTTGGGCTCTGTGCTGACAGCTCGGAGCCTGGAGCCTGCTTGGGGTGTCTCCCTCTCTCTCTCTCTCTCTCTCTCTGCCCCTCCTCTGCTGGCACTCTCTCTCAAGGCACTGTCTCTCTCTCAAAAATAAACATTTAAAAAAACATAAAAGTTTGTTTTTCTTAGTAACAGGTTAGAAATTAGCTGACGAAACCATTTTAACTTTTAAGAGCGCTTAAGGAGTTGCAAGTCACTTCGCAGAGCCGGAAGTAGAGGCCGATCAGGCTGCCGGGGGTGGATGGGAAGCTTCTGGAGTCCCAGGAAGGGGTGCTCTGTGCGCATGCTCGCTGAGGGACCTCCCGACGCCAGGAGGACTTGGGCATTTTGCTTCATATCTTGTGTTTCGATTTGCAGGAAGCACGCGGTGAGGAACGGAGGTTGTCAGAAATGCCAAGCAGGGGTTCCTCCCTGGGCGTCGCCCGGGGCAGCCAAGTGCAAGTCCAGGTCCGGGGTGAGACGGTCTGCGCAGACCGGCCCCCAGGCGCATGCGCAGCACGGTCCTGGCAGGTCCCGGCTTCCGGAGGGGCCTCACCGCCCCCGGAGCCGGCCGCCGGGGGACCCCAGGACGCACGGGTGCGCAGGGAGCCTCAGAAGCAAGCTGCTGGCGCCTCCCTGGGCACAACGCTGGTTTCCTGGGCACACCCGCCTGCCAGGTGCCCTCGTCGCTTTAGTTTACGTTCTCCGGCCCTCACCGGGGAGTAGTGTTCCCCGGCCGTTTTCGGGGGCCGGCCCGGGACCCGTGCGGGACCCTCATCTGCCACGTGCGGCCCTGAGCGCAGGCTTACCCCGAGGCACGTGATCGCTGACACTAAGCAGCCGGGAGTGTGGGTCGCCAGCCCTGAGCTGGTGTCTGCAGCAGGGGACCATCCCTGAGCTCTCTCAAAACCCACGCAACCAGGAGGGAGGTGTGAGGAGGCCTCTGAGAGCCCCCCCCCCCGGTACTCCTCATCACCACCAGACGCCCGTCCCCACGCCCCCACTCCCCACTCTGACCCCCGCCCCCCCCCCCCCGCGGGCCGGCCTTGAACCCGGAGTCCCGCCCTCCACGTGGCTCCCTAGACGTCCAGCTTGCCCGGGTGGCGTGTGCTGCCCGCCTCCACGGCCGACCCCCCAGATCCTCAAAGTCACTCGTCAGCAGGACCGCCTTCCCTCCTCTGCGAACTTGCACACGTTCCTCTTCTGTCCGTCTTCTGTCCGGACCGTAATTCCCAGCAGGTCGCGGCGAGAGCACCGGGCGCTGGTCCCCCCGCCTCTCCCCGACGGCCAGCTTGCTCCCGGGAGACAGAGGCGAGGCCTGCGGGGCGGCGAGGCTCCTGTCGAGGGAGGTAGCCGAGTTTCCGCTCAGTTCTGCTCCTGAGGCTCAGGAAGTGAATGCATTTCCCCCCCTCCTCCAAACAAGCGCTCTGACTTGGGGGTGAGTCCAGGTGGGGCCAGGATGGGACAACGAGGTGAGGCCGGGTGGGGGTGCTGGGGCCTGGTGCAGGGCTGGCCAGGGAGAACCAGAGCAGGGAGAGAGGGCTGGAGGCTGGAGGCCAGTTAGGGCCACGTGTGCTTGGCCACCTCCGCACCTGACCTGCTTTTGTGCTCTACTGCGCTCTCGTTTAAAGAGGGACCCAGACAGCGGGGCCCCTCCCTGCCAGGCTCTGCCCCTGGGGGCAGGTAGTTTGGTGCCCAAATCCTGGGAGAGACCCCCACCAGCCCCACAGAACCAGATAATCAAGGAGCTGCGTGGCCTGGCCCCCACAGGCCTCCTGTCCCGTGAGGTACTTGGTGGACAGATCAGGGACACCCAGCCTGGCCGTGGCGGTTCAGCGTGGCGTTTCCCCGGCTGTCCCTTCCGTGTGCTTTATCTTGCATTGTCCATTCGGTGCGCTCGGCCTCTCAGCCTGGGCCCCCGCAGGGGTGGGGGGTGGGGGGCCGCAGGTCTGGAGGACGTGCTCCGGCAGAGCCTGGGAAGCTCCCGGCTTAGATTTCGCCAGGCCAGGGCTCCGCTGTGGGGCCCAGGCCCTATTTTGAGAAACAGCTCCCAAGGAGGTTATCAAGTGTCATATTTTCAAAGGAGAATTCAAGGCAGCCAGCGCCCAGTTCTTAGGCCAGAAAATGCCCATATCGATGCGGCCTGATGCCTGGCGGCTGTTTTGGCGAGTGTTTTCATGCCTTCATGCCTTCATTCCTCTCTGCTGTTTTTGCCTAAGGTGTCTTTGGTGATAATTAATGTCAACCAGAACAAAGTGCCATGTATTTTAGGCAGTAGAAGTTCCATTTATCAACAGGCAGAGATGTGATTGCAAGGTGGTTATGTTTAAGATGGTAAATACACAGTGTGGCTGATTTTACATCCAATTCGCACATGTTTGCTCTCAGGAGCGTCCCGTTTGTAACGGAGTCGTGAAAACACAGGCCCCACAAAACAGACCTTCCCTAGGAGACATCAGGCGACGGGGCATCACCTGGACGGGGCCTTTCTCTGAACCATGGTCTTGTGAGTCTGTGGCCTCGGGTGAAGGGATTCGGCTCCATTTCCCTGAGAAACGCTCAGGGCTCCATTCTTTTCTCATCAGTTACTGGCTCCGCTGAAAGCTGGCCGGTCAGATTTCACCGCCTTTCAGTTATTTACAAAAGTGGAGAGAAATCGAAGGGGCTTATCAGCAGGCGGCTGGGTGCATTTCAGATTGTGTGGCATCCTTTCTGAATTCTCGCTCGGCAGTTTTTATCTTGGAATTCCCGTTCGGTTTCGTTCTCTTTTTTTCACACTTTGCTAGAAGGAACTTAATAGTCCTACCCCCCCTTTTTTGTGCTTGCCACTGAAGGAAAGCAACAACAACAAAAGCAAACCCAGTGTGTGTCTTGCCAAAAGCAAATCAGCATCCTTTACGACGGACGCCCTCATGTCCCGGGGCTGGCGTCTCTCTCGTCTGTGACTGGAGGCTTGTGGATACTTGCCTCTTGCCTGATCCATCAGTGAATCAGGAAGAAAACCACAGGTTTTGTCGTAGGCCTTGGGAGCTAAACTCGGTGCCACCAGGCCAGCGTATCTTCTTGGATGGGGATGCAAACCCAAGGATTGTCTGTCACTGCAGATAATGAGATGTGTTACGCTCCCCAAAAGGTGCTTCAACTGCAAAGAACTTCCCTTGACGTCATGTTGCAAACTTTCCTTCTGGTGTATTCAGAGACATAACCAGTCTGTGTTTAACCTCTCTGATATCTCCCGTGTGACGGAGGGATTCGCCATGTCCATAGTGATGTTGTAAAATATGTTCCTGGTCCTTTCCATAATTTTCTATGATTTCTTTTTCTCATTTAAAAAGTTTTTAAAATTTATTTTGGAGAGGGAGAGAGAGTGAGCAGTGGGGTGGGGGTGGGGGTGAAGGAAAGAGAATCTTAAACACGCTCTCAGCAAAGAGCCTGATGTGGGGCTCAATCCCACACCCTGGGATCATGACCTGAGAGACAGATGGCTCAAAGGACTGAGCACCCCCAGGTGCCCCTGATTTTCTATTATTTAACATCTTTTTTAAAAAGTTTTTTAATGTTTGTTTATGTTTGAGACAGAAAGAGACAAAGCATGAGCAGGGGAGGGGCAGAGAGAGAGGGAAACACAGAATCCAAAGCAGACTCCAGGCTCTGAGCTGTCAGCACAGAGCCCAACACGGGGCTCGATCCCACAGACCGTGAGATCATGACCTGAGCCGAAGTCGGAGGCTCAACTGTCTGAGCCGCCCCAGCGCCTCTTAATGTCTTAATCGGTAAAGTGACACCCAGGTTCCCTGGTAGTTTCATGGGATGATTACTAATGGCCACACAGCCCAGGAAGAAATACATCAACCTGTTGGAGAAAGTCATAAAACTCCCTGAGAGTTCTTCCTTGGGGAATACGAGTACGCCATGCGGCCAGATGTCAGTTGCGGGGTGCACTGGGGGCGCTGGCCCTCTGTGTGGCTTTCCTAGTCCTGTTCCAGAACCACGGCCCAGGCAGGTTCTGGGAGAAAAAGGGAGAAAACAGATCTTGTGTGATGGTTCTTTTCTTTCCTACCAGTCTCTCTTCTTCTCCGTTGTGGGCCCTTTCCATCTTTGACCAAGGGGATGTGGCACAGCAGAGGTGGGCAGCCCGTTTATGGACTGACCGTGCTGTCTGTGCCCGTGCCATCCACGCCGGGAATGTGGCGGGC